TGTTTTCTTTATAGATAAAACAAGCAGGAAAGAACAACTTGAGGAAAGGCATTTTTTACAAGATGTCAGTAACAGTCCGGCATCGAAACAGATAAGCTTATCTGATGTTTTACTACTACCGCCTATCCCACGTCGTAGTGGGAAGCATCGATGTTACACAAATTAGTTTCATCCTGTACTAACAGCCAGAGAAATCCGTAAGAAGGAAGATGATAAATTGAAAATTGAAGCAGAAAAGAAAATCAAAGCTCAACAGCGAGAATTATTTAAAATCGAGCGGGAAGATTTAAAACGTGTGAAGGCTGAAGAAAGGAAACGCAAGAAGGAAGAAAATGATAAGAAAAAAGGAGTGAAAACCAAGGCTGACTTAAAATTTAATTTGTCAGCTATTACATTAAACACATATAACATACTCGTTACAAATAACAATTAAATTACTTTATCCATGCTAAGCTAAGTTTTATCATTAAATTTTTAGCTATTAAATACAGAATCATTAATCATTGTTCATCTAAAACATTAACTTATAGAATAACATATCCCTTCTTTCATTGGTTGGGTTAGGTTGGGAGTTACAAAATTGTTTCAAACTGAGTTTACCAAATTCTCATCGGGTTCTTCTATGTAAAACATAAGGTCTGTGAAGTTTTGTATTTCTGTATGTGAAAAATTGATGACCAACAATGTTACAGCTGCTGCTGTTGCAAAAGAAGGTTTTCCAATAAGGGAATATTGATATATGTTAAATCATATATATTCTTTTCTGTGACTCGCGCATGTGCCAAGAATAAAATAGCGGAATAAAATGGAAATGACATCTCCTCTCTAGAAAATTTAGAATTTATATGAATTTGTTTCAAAATCTGCGAGATTTCATTGCACCTATGTAGAATTAGAGAATGCTTCGCTGCGGCCAAAAACTGAAACATGCCTACGGTCAATAAAGGAACATGTGCTGTCAAAACTGGTACTGAAGCTAGAAGTTTATAATCCTTTTTTTTACGTTTTCGGTACAAATTAAACCCATTCTAGATCTTTTTATTATTCAGAATCGTTTAAACTTCAATTTAATTGTATCAGTTGTTGCACAACTAGGGCGTTTCGATTTTATAAAATTTGAAAACTAAATTTGCTCACTAACTAGTGCCAAAACTGGCTCATCTACCCTATGTGCTTTCTAATCATTTGATTAATTTCATGATATTTCCTCACACAACTCATTTTTTCATATCAATTGGTGATGTCAAAATACTAGATAATATCTTAACTGCTAATCCACCCACGCAAACATCACCAACACCATCATCAGGTAGAGGACTCTTTCCCCTACTAGCTGGTGTTGTTAGTTTCTGTGAATGAGCTAGCATTTGCCACAAATCGTCGATTGAAGTGATTGTTTACAAAATCAGTAGCTGGAGTACCTAGGTTAAAATGAAATGTAATTTATTTTGAATTTGGAACAAATAAAGATTTAAAAAAAAATGTGCAGGAAGGTAGCTTCCACACCTGCGAAGGCTATCGCACCCATTCAAACACAAATACGCCAGGACCAACGGCTTTACTTCCCTTCCGAAGGAAGACGTGACCAGAGATTTTTATGCCTCAGAAAAATCCCAGTGACCTCAGCTGGATTGAACCCAGACCCATTAGGGTGAGAAAGCACTCACGCTTATCACTACACCATCGGCGCCGGCTAGCATAAGATACGTGATTGTACAAATCTGGATCAACAATAGGAAAGGGCCCATCAGCATTTGTAAACAAACCGTTCCAAAGCCCATTCCTCTCAAATCGAAGGCTGCCCACACAAACAAACACCATCATCGTGTAGGTGGTAGCTTCTCCTATCCGATGATGGTGTTGGTTTGCGTGGGCAGCCTTCGATTTGTGAGGAATGGGCTTTGGAACGGTTTGTTTACAAATGCTGATGGGCCCTTTTCTATTGTTGATCCAGAAATCGTTGCTGGCTACATAATGGCCAACTAATACATTGTGCAGACAATATTGTGTGTTGCCACGGAGAAACCCTTGGGATTTGTGATTTTAATAACATAACCTTCATAGATGTCACGGAAGGGGGATATTTGCATTAGTAGGAAATGGTGAGGTTAGGAAACTCTATTCGGCAATATAGAGTATATGGTAAAGCCCAGAATACTGCCGCTCATGGCAAGTCCGTCTCATAACAGAAATCACCATACAACACAAATTACGGCATTGTAAAGCTACCACGATTGAGTCTTTAAAATAAATGAATTGGAAAAATGAAAAGAAAAAACAAATCAGTCAAATCACTAGCTCTATTTATGGCCACAGCAGCAGATTTGAAGTCAAAACTAATTTGATAATCATCAGTAGCCGTCCTAAATGCATACATCCCCGCTTTTCAATTATGTGGCTTTCACCTTGAACTTTCTGCCGGTACTCTTGCAGTGAAACCTAAGCCATAGACCTACATTAAAGAAGTACAACCAATCAAGGACTGTTACGTAACGTACCTCCATCAACCCACAGACGTACACCATCTACTAGATTAACTCATATTGCAGCGGAGCCCGGGTACCGTTCCGGCTCAAATTTCGCAAAGTTTTCCGAAGCCCTTCTGGGCCTGATCGAAAGTTGAATCAGGACGGTATATTAACATGGAGAAACTCGATGACGTTCTTGGATCTTGTGTTACACGAACATTGATTACATGGTGCACGTGTGCTGAAATGGCAAAATTCTCATTATAGTGAAATGCTTGGTGGAATGCAATCATGCATTATATTCATGTAGGTCCTACACATACGTTCATGCTGCCAATGGATGCTTGTCACGAGAAGAGTGCGTTAATAAAGAGCACCGATGCTATTTTTTTAAAAGTGTAATACATTTGGTTGATTCGGAAATTGCTTTCAATGTTGAGAATGAATACCATCACAAAAATCAGTCAGAAAGATGCAGCACACATCACGCTGTTGAAAGGGAAAGAAGTAAACGCACAATTATGCAATTAAACAATTATCCGTGTTCATTCACTCGTGAAGTAAAATCTATACCTCATTAATTAAACAACACTATTAATCAGTGATTGCTCGTATAGATCTCAGCATAACATGAGACAGAACTGAGATGTAAACGATGCGCCTCTGTCATTGCCTCCATTCCATCCGTTACCGTGCACCAACGAGTGTAGTTCGTACCCCGGGCAACAACAAAACTGATCTTGAAATTGAAGCCTAACTGGACCTTGAGTAGACCGATCCCCTTATTATGCCTCACCTGCAAACGTACGGAATAAGGCACGTCGTTGATCTTAATTGAACCGCGCAACGCTCGTCTTCTCGAACGGATTCCGAACATAGGAACAGGAATCCCCCGAATAGTGCGGTGGTTGGTGCCAATTTCGCGGCAGTCTTTCAACCAATTGAGTTGATTTTCGGTAAGCGACAAGTTTATGGTTGAGCACATACAAAACCATCAGCTCAATTGAATGTAGGATTGCGATGTAGGAGCGCTATTCGGGGGATTCCTGTACGCTGCGCTCCTCAGCCAACAGGTTTCATTACGAGTTACCTACCTACGAGGAACCTATCTGATTGTGGCTGCTCTGTTTGGTACCGTCCACGTGCACACAAGCGAGACTTGTACGATGGGCAGTTATGCAAAGCGAGTAACCCCATTTATGGTCTCGAGGATGATGGTCAAGTGCGGTGGATGATGGAGATGGAGCTTCTCGAAGGTATCACGCATAAATAAAGCTGCTGCAGTGTTCATTTTCCGATAGGTCATAGCATAGGTCATCGGTGTTTGCCGAGTTAGTCTAGAACTAGCTGGTAGAGCTTCGGTCAGGAAGCTGTTGTTGTCAAGTAAAATCATTCTAGGTATATCGATTCAAAAAAGATCGATCCTAGAAAATATCGAGGAATAAAAATCGAATGGAGAAAAATCGATTTATTTGTTTAGTTATTAGGTCGAAGATCATTAGTCCGAATGGTTTCCAGCCTATCCAGACTTACCTATTTTTTCTACGAGCTTCCAGCCATAGTTATTTTTCCAAGATTTTCAACACTTCGATAGTTTTTGAAGCTTTGGACTTGGATTTTTTTTAGAGATTTTAGTATTTGCTTGTCTTTCAAACTTGAGCAGCCCATTAGAGTTTTAATGTTTTCGTGAATATTGGCTCCATAATTAAAATATGCCATCACATTATTATTCCATCTTTGAAAAGCTGATTGTCCTGTTCTCATACCAATGATCATCATATCATGATTATTTATTTTTCAGAACAATGCTTTTTTTGGTTTCATTTGGGGTTCCAAACAGCCGTACTGAGTTTGGGGACGATTGGTTGTAGCCCGGCATTCCTCATTGCGTTTGAAATTTGTATGGAAATGAGTATGGGAAAACCAACTTTTTTGCATTTTCATTCCTAGGGACCCCCATTTGGCTTGTACCATGCAACTCATGTATTTACTAATAATGTACAAGGATAGTCCAGGAAGTGCTTAATAACTTTGTCTTTAATAAAAGTTATAGCTGTTCAAAGATTGATGTTTCAAAGCAAATACCAAACATCACTTTTTCCGCCAATACTACCGGTGTACCAATGAAAGTCAGATTCCAAACTGAAATAATTTCGGTGTTTTTTATCGTACCGATTTGGTATGTTCACATGAATTATTCAAAAATAATGTCTCAATTTCTGAAACGTAATTAGAGAAGGAGGGGGGGGGGGGGGGCTTATATACCCAGCCTTCTCACTAATATCAATGGAAGTAAACACAACATTCAGACTGAAATAACTTCCGTATTTCTCATCTTGTCGAGATGGTATGTTTAGACTATTTACTGAAACTAATAGGCGTAGTTGGATCGGGTGGAGGGTGGAGGAGGGTAAACTGTATCATAGTCGCGCCCAACCTGCCAGTGACCAGAAGCCGCCCCGGCCCTGTGTCTGAGTTTGGAGAGGGGGTCTTCCGAAATGGAACTCCAGGAAATCGATAACGCTCACCGCACTACAGTTCTTCCAACCGGATACCGGGACGCACCTTTGCCGCAAAAACTTTGGAAGCCCATAATCCTCCCATCACAGTCGAGCCCCTCCTGTCATCGATCAACAGTCGTCCCGGCTCTGTGTTTGGGTTCGGAGAGGGGGTCTTCCGAATCCCTACCGTAGGCAAGTATAACCAACCGACGATTTCGGACCTGCCCTGTACTTTCACAACAATTTCCAGCGATTCCGGCGCTACATTTGCTAAACGACATCCAACATCATTGAGAACGAGATCACGACACCAACTAGACAACGTGCTGCTTTACTACCAACCAAGTATGAATTCTGTTTTAGATGACTACCGATTGGCAACGATGGATCACTGCTATGAAATCATCACCCTAACCGAAACCTGGCGAACCCTTACACATTCCAGTCAAATATTCGGACCTGGTTACGAAGTTTTTCGCTGCAATCGGAATGAACACAACAGTCAGAAATTAAACGGTGGAGGCGTAGTCATAGCTGTAAGTAATAAACTGAATGCGAGGGTCATTGAGAACGATATGTGGAACTGCGTTGAACAGATCTGGGTAGCCATCGAGCTAGGAGACCGAACCGTTATTATCTGCGTCATGTATTTCCCTCCAGACCGTACACGAGACTGATAATTAATTCGTGCTCACACCGAATCGATTTCACAGGTTACGGAGAATATGGCACCAGTCGACGAGGTTATTATTTTGGTTTTCTGTATCCCGATCCACAACATTCCGTATTTCATGCTTGAACTACAAACCTTCTCGACAGCTATAGCACAGTCACACTAATGTAAATCAATGACATGGTCCTAGGCGAGTAAGAGAGGTGCCACAGTAGGAAGAAGTGTTAGTTTGTTTACTAAAATGAACCGCCCATTTTGTTATGGCAAGTTTTGCTATAAGAAATGCTCCTCGTGTTTATTAGCGAAATTCACATCAAAGATTGATTAATTGCGTAGGAAATCAGTTTGGCACGGCATTTGTAACCAGCATACACCTTCCGGTCATATGAAACAGGTCAAAAACTGTCCAAATCCGCAGATAAAAATTTTTGTTTTGAATTTCTGTATGGCAAAATAGTGAACTTTTCGTGAACATTAACAGCAAAGAACTCACCAACACTGGGAGACCGTGAGTTCCTGCCCACCTGTCTTAAAAACATCTCGAACTGGCGGGATAATAGCCATGAGTGAACTCTCATTCACTAGGGATGTTCTTATATAATAGAGTGGCCTATATCCCACACACGGTCCAGACAGGTGAGTAACACTCTGAACCTTGACAGCCCTACCAAAGATCTCATTAGACTCGGTAACACTATTCATAGGCAGTACCAGCGTACTGGCCTGCTTAATTTGAAGACCAATTGTAATCGATTAACAAAGATTATTCAGGCCAGGCTGGTGGATCTCAGAAATAACGATTTTACTAGTAAGATCCGCTCTCTCCCAGATTGTGCTAAGCCTTTCTGGAAACTTACAAAAATTCTTAAAAACAAGCCTAGGCCCATTCCACCACTGACCCCATTGGATCGTCCTGGCGACCCAGTGGTTCATCTGATAACTCCTGACAAAACATCGTCAGCCCTCATGAATCTGAGGTTGCTGAAAATGCAACCAATCTTCTTCAGATTCCTAACATTTTCCCAGAGGAATCCGATATTACGGCTGACGAACTGTTGGCCTATATCAAATCATCTGAAAACATGAAGGCCCCAGGTTTCGACAGCATCCTGAATCTGGAACTCAAACACTTGAGTTCCAGATTCTACAACCATCTGGTACTGATTTTTAATCAGTGCCTGAGGCTACTTCCCCTCGTGTTGGAAGTCAGCTAAAGTCATACCCATCCGGAAACCTGGGAAGGATCCGTCCTCTCCTTCAAGTTATCGACCAGTCAGCCTTCTCTCAGGGTTATCAAAACTGTTCAAAATAGCAGTGTACCACCGGCTCCTAACATCTGCCGATGGAAACAACTTGTTACTCGAGGAACAGTTTGGTTTTCGGAAAGGTCGTTCGACCGTCCACCAGCTGATTCGAGTAACAAACATTATCAGACGGAACAAGTCTGTTTCGAAAACATCTGCAATGGCGTTGTTGGACGTTGAAAAAGTGTTCGACAATGTCTAGTGTTCAAATTGCAGCAGTACGGTCTTCCAATCTTCCTAGTGAAAATAATAAACAACTATCTATCAGACAGGACGTTCCGAGTCGATGTCAATTATACAAGGTCTGGCCTAACCAGCTTATTGGTATTAGTGAAATGTGGGCATGTTTAGTGGTGTTCGTATTTCATCGCAATGTTTATCTTTTTACACGAAACAGCTGTTTTCAGTGACGACACGTCTGCTATTCGCAATATGGAATGTTGTGCTGCCGTTACATCGGCATTTGCTTGCTCAGCAATGTTTACAACATTTTTGCTTCTAACACCAGCAAGCTGCCTGTTGTTCCAGACCTTGTATGATTGACATCGGTTCCGAGTCTCTCTGAATGGCTTTCAACATCGGTGCCGGGGTTCCACAAGGAAGCATCCTTGGCCCCATCCTATGCAACCTGTTTACCTCCGATATGCCGGCTCTCCCTGATGTTGGATCGTTGTCTCTATTCGCAGATGACACATCCATTGTCTACAAGGGTAGGGTCATCGGAGCTCTGACTGCCAAACTTCAGAGAGGCCTGGACGTCCTGTCTGAATATTTCAACAGCTGGAAGATCCGTATCAACGCGGCAAAGACCCAGGTCATTATCTTTCCACACTCTAAATCTCCCAGACTTGTTCCGTCAGAGAATAACAAGATCTGCCTGAACGGCGCAGTGGTAGAATGGTTCAAAGAGGTCGTGTTCCTTGGGGTAACACTAGACAGCAAGCTTCTCTTCAGACAGCACGTTGACAAAACGAAAACCAAGTGCAACATCTTGATAAGATCGTTGTATCCACTTATCAACATGAAGTCAACCCTGTCCCTGAAAAATAAGCTTGCTGCCTACAAACAAATCATCCTTCCTGGAATCGAGTACGGTATGCCAATCTGGGAGAGTTGCGCAAAATGCCATCACCTTAAACTCCAAAGGATCCAGAACAAGATCCTTAGGATGATCCTAAACAGTCCCTCGCGGACTAGAAATTCTGAGATCCACCTCCTGGCTGGAATTCAGACATTCGAAGAACGGAGAGTATTCATACTGGAAAGGTTCAGAGACACTTGTCTGAGATCAAATCATCAGATCATACGTGATCTAGCACGTTAGGTTAAGTTATACTCATTGTTAGGTAGGTTATCACTTTTTTTCAATTCAAATAAAACACATCCCCAAAGGGATATTCTGTAAACTAGTTAAAAAACGCAAATATTATATTAGAATATCAAATTAAACAAAGATGAAGAGCGAGGTAGGCTAATCAATTAAAATAATAAATCAATGTACTACCATAATCAACAGAAATAAACATAATTTAACTACTGCTACTCCCACACACGGTATTGAAGATTTTCTCTCCGAGCTTGACTGGGTCAATATTCTCGATAGAAACGATGTCGAAGCAGCTGTCCAGTCGTTCTCTCACATTATGGCTGACGTCATTGACAGATACGTGCCGAAAAAAGTGAACCGAACTTGAACACACCCTCCATGGCAATCCACTGAGCTACGGCGACTGAAAATAGTGAAGCGTACCGCCCTGAGGAAGTACACGAAGCACCGTACTCTCTCACTCAGGAACCACTACGTGAGACTCAATAAAAAGTTCAAACAAATCAGTAAACGTTGCTATTCACGCTTTCAACGTAGTATCCAATGCAAACTCAAGTATAAACCAAAGTCATTTTGGAAGTACGTTAACGAGCAACGCAAGGAACCTGGTCTTCATTGGTTCTGGAAGGGGAAACGGCTACCGATCCGGGTGAAATTTGCCGTCTATTTTCCGTCAAGTTCGCCAAAGTATTCACAGATGAAAATTTATCTGATGAGCACGTCTCTGCTGCTACCAGTAACGTACCCTTACACGGACAAACCTTTGCAGGAATCGATGTAGATAACACGATGATCATCAAATCAGCTCACCGGCTTAAGTCAGCCCACAATCCGGGGCCAGACGGAATACCGTCCATTATCCTGAAGAACCATATCGAATGCTTGCACTTCGTCATTTGTTCCAGCTGTCGTTGTCTAGGGGGATCTTTCCATCGTGTTGGAAATATGCGCATATGTTCCCCGTGTACAAAAAAGGCAGTAGATAGGCACAATATCGATAACTACCGTGGCATCACTTCTCTGTGTGCTGTTTCGAAATTGTTTGAGTTGGTCGTAATGAAGCCTTTATTTGCTCATTGTAAACAGTATTTGAGCGATGACCAACATGGTTTCGTACCCGGCCGTTCAACTACTACGAACTTGCTGTGACTTACGTCGCACATCACTTTGAGAATGGCAGAACGGACTCAACAGACGTTATTTCAGGCATAACATTTGATAACGGCACAAAAGCATTTGTAATCAGACTTTCTAAGGCCCTTTACACGCGAACCAAAGAACGCCCACGCAAACCAATACCACTTTCGGAAAGGTGATAGTTGCCCCTATCCGATGATGTTGTTGGTTTGCATGGGTGTACTTTGTTTCGCGAGTAAAGGGCCTTAGAAAGTTTGTTTACAAATGCTTTTGTGCCGTTATCAAATGTTATGCCTGATTTATACTATCGGCAGCATTTGACATGATTAACCATGGTATCACTATTTCAAAGCTACAGAGACTAGGAGTTAATGGCTCACTTCTGGGATGGTTCAACTCCTATCTAAACGATCGCTGGATGAATGTCGCTATCGGTGACTGCCAATCGGACGTTTTCAAGGCTACGTCAGGAATTCCACAAGGTAGTCACCTCGTCCCGCTGTTATTTTTGTTGCACTGTTTTTCATCGGATCCGCTCAATTGCCGATGCTCGTTTCTTGCAAAATCAACTAAACTGCTTTACCGGATGGTGCAAACTGAATCGAATGGTAGTCAACCCAAGTAAATGCTCAGTGATTTTATTCTCACGGAAACAGTAACCAATTAATTACAAATATACCTTCTCGGAAGCCGAAATCGAACGCGTAAGTCATGTTAAGGATCTTGGAGTTATACTTTGAAGGTAACACGTATCTTACATCGTTGGTAAAGCATCAAGAACAATGGGTTTCATCATACGCATAGCTAAGAGCTTCACCGACGTATACTG